AAAAAAAAAAAAAAAAATACATATCAAAATATACATTACATCCAATATGATAAACACAATTTAAAAACATAAATATTTTCAGCTCCTTTGATTGTAAATTTGACAAAAATCATTAACCATTATATGCATATGAATAACTCACAATACTTTATTTATATAAATTGTACAAATGCACAGGTCGAATAAGTCTCGTAAATAAAGGCATCTGTGTGTTGTAGTCCTCCAACATTTATTAATTATTCTATTTGTTCAGAATGTTTGAATATGAAAAAAGGTGATGTTTTTTTTTTGAAGTGTTTTTGAGTGAGACTGAGAAGGCCTTTAACACGAGCAAGCCAATGGGCATTATTCTATTTACAATCGGTGAACAAGTGTCACATGGGCTTCATGTGCTTGCTTCTCTTCCTTTGATGAAGATTGTCTTGATTTATTAATAAATAAATAATTAATCTCACTTCTATGCCCTACCAATTTTCAATTTTTTCAGAGCCAAAAGTTGTAAGGGACCACTTGTTTTTTTTTTCTCAATTTTTCACAATTACCAAAATTATATTCTTTCTAGAAATCACATTGCTAATTAGGAATATAATTATTAGTAAAAAAATTCAATTTTATTATTATAAAAATGTCACACTTTTATTTATGTCGTTTTGAACAATTTGATATTCAGTTAATCAAATATATGCATATATAACCAATTAAACAGCCAAAGATTAACGATACACTTTTCGTACAACATTGCTTGATTTTTTTTTTTTTTACTAAAATGGTGTCAAAAGTGCAAGTTATTAAAAAATTTACACATGAAACCAGGATTCCGTTTCAGGTAGGACCAAATTTGCTTTTAAAAAAAATTTCCCGACAAAACCAAACACAAACACAAATTTTTTTCGATCCAGCTTCCCCTCCATTGCTCCATGCCTCCTTGCTCAGTTGCTCTGTGTTTTCGGATTCCGGATTTCCGGTGTCGCCCCTCCGGCCATCCCGCGGCGTACCACCCCCACTCCGGTATCGGAAGGGCACTAAAAGGGCGTCCTTCCAGTTCCAGCAAAACCCCCCACCCCTAGTTCGAAATTTTTTTTTTTTTTTTGGAAGGGCCGGCGCCTCTCCGAGTGTCAACATGGTTTCGCCCCTGACCGTAATCACACATTCACACGAAGTTTAATCACCCATTTATATTTTATTTAATTAAAAAATATCGACACATCTAATGATTAAACTATTATTATCCGGTCAATCACTTAAAATGTTAAAAAAAAAAATACAACATTTATTTAAATTTTCTTTAAGCAATTGAATGGTTTGTGATCAGTTGTGACTCATGTCAGTAGCTGTTTGTACTGTCAAGGACTGAAGGGGTATACAAAATAAAATATGTGAGTAAAACAAAAGGAGAAGACACAAAATGCTGGGATGTATCAACAGCAGCACCAATTGCATTAAAATCTATTGTTGGCATTTATGGAACTCTTTTTCTCAGCCTTAGAACATGCACACTATTTACCACTTAGTTATTCAAGTGGCAATCCTTGAAATTTGGGCTTTGGTCTTCCATATTATCTCCCTACAATTTGATTTCATATTTTCATTTAAAGGACCACATTATTGTGATGGATGGGGTTGTGGGGCTATAATTTATGTCAACCAAAACGAGTCGAGTCAGGCTAAGTTGAAATTATTCGTATGATTAAAGTGTGACAATGAGCTAAATTTGAGCTCGAATTGGCTTTAGTTGATGGCTTAGATTCTCAATTGAGTCTAGCTAGGTTACATATTTTAGAGCATCTATAACATTTTGGGTATAGTTTTGCTTAGTTGATATATAATTGAATTAAAATCTTAGATGGCATGGATAAAATCGTGTAAAATAACAAAAATCATTCTATTATAAGGAGATCGAGTCTCTACTAGTGTCCCAAATAGACTAATTAATAGCAGGCCGGCTAAGTCGTCTTTTTCTTACTTATACATCTGGATTCAGTTTACTTTCACTTGTACTAATTCTGTTTTTTGTGTGGCATGTAATTATTTATTTTTTAATAATTCATAGACTTAAGCAAATGGATATTTTTTATTTATTTTTTATTTTTTTGAAAAGATGGTAGCCACTTGATTTAGGTGCAAGGTACAAATCATACTATGGATTAAATGCATTATTGGTAAAGTGAACTAAGGGATTTGGGACATATTGTTGGAAATGACAATAAGGATGTAAGATATACATGATTCTAAAACTTCAAACTAACACTCAAGATTGTGAAAGCTAAGCCTTGAGTAGGGCTGCAAACGAGCCGAGCGGCTCACGAGCTGCTCACGATTGCTCGAGTCAAAGCTCGACTCGAGCAGCTCGAGCACGAACTCGAGTCGAGTTTGATCCCATATTTTGCATTGTCGAGCGGCTCGATATATATGTTAAATTACTAAAATTCCCCATATATATTTATATATATTTGAATAGTATAACACATGTTTAATGATAATTTTACTTTTCCACTTATAAATTTTCGAGCCGAGCTCGAGCATTTTGATTTCGTGTCGAGCTCGAGCCGTGGTCGAGCTATTGTATTTTCTTATCGAGTCAAGCTCGAGCCTCATAAATCGAGCTTGACGAGCTCGAACTCGAGCAACAAAAAAAAAAAAAATCAATCTTGCTCGATAAGACCAATACTTGACTCGCCTCGGCTCGTTTGCAGTCCTAGCTTTGACCGCAATATCAACCACAATCACACAAATATTTATTGGCTATTTATGTCCAAACACAAATGTCATCACATTTTATTGCTCCCACACCGCTTGCATAGTCTTTAACGAGGAACCATAGAAAAAAAAAATTAATTTGGTCCAAATGTGGTCCACACTTTTTGATCGGATTTTTTTTCACTTTGAGTATGGTTCTAAAATTCGGTCTTTGATTACCTGCAAAACCTCCAAAGGCGTTCCTAATATAAGTGATATCAACTGAAGTGCTAAACAATAAATTTAATAGAATTATAAGTATCATCAATAATATTGTATTAATGTTTTGAAGTGAACCTATATAGGCAATCACATTAACATGTTCTCTAAATAAAAGATTACTTATAGCTTTTGATCATTCGATATGTTTT